ACCAGTTAGACCCATCCAAAGCTTTCAAAATACTAAAGTACTAAGGGTAAAGGAGAGGAGGAGGGGGAATCAGAAATGAGAAATAAGAGTATTGAGAGTGAAGTAAAAGGAAAAGTATTGAGAGTGAAGTAAAAGGAAAAATTACCTAGTATACATAGAAATATACTAAGTATTTGTTTAATTGCACATATGTATAAATAATTATCCTTTTTTTCTTTTTGTTTTTTCTGTTTTTCCTTCTTCCCTTTTTTTCCTTTTTTCTTTTCATTTTAATTTTCTTCTACTTTCTACTCTTTTTTTATTTTCACAGGACCAAATGTAAGGCGAGTTAGTATCCCAGCCTAAAACATCCTGGCTGCGATAGAGGGAGTCAAGACTAGAACCAAAGAGGTAGAGGAAATCAGAGGAAGGTTCTCAGGGAGGGGAATTAACTCTGAAGAAGAGGAAGGGTCGAGAGGAGGGAGCTCAAGGACTACAAGGTGAGGGAGAATGAATGTCTTACAGAACTCATCAAGCAATTTAACACAATGATGAACCCTAGAGCCAGCCTAGTAAGAATGAGTGGGAGGCTGCGAGAGTGAAATAGAAAGCATCTAGAAACATTCTCAACATGCAAAGGGAGAGAGGTGAAAACAAATTGCAGAAAATTGCAGCTAGGAATCTCTAGCTATCTGCCTCTCCGACCCCTTCTGCAATTGGGAGGATGAGTGTGAGAAAGTATGACAAGAGATCATAATTAGGCAAAGATCTACAAGATTGGATAATAAGAGCGAGCAGGGTGGGACCTGATAGTAAAATAAGACAAGGAAAACAATAGAAAATCGAAAAAAAGAAAAAATAAATACACATTAAGTGTGCAGCAATCCTAAATCTCAACGTAAATAATCAAGAAAGAACTTTCTAGTTCAACCAGTATTTGATCCTTCATTTAAGAATAATTTGAAGAGTTGTTTAGAACATAAAACGACTTTAAGATCCAAGACTGATCCTGAATTTAATTTGAAAAGAATCATACTGGTAATAGTTCTATAAATGTTATCAATGCCATAATAATTATATGAAAAGCGCCTGTTGCACAAAAAAAACAATGATTCTTTTGAAAGTGCTTCACTTAGTTGTCTTCAATGTTCAAGCTGCAGGGGGCGGAACCTTGGCTATAGTCTGTTTATTTGAAACATATGCACGTTTTTTTGCGCTATAGTCTATTTATTTCAAAAAACAATACCCCAATCACTTCAAACACATACACGAAGGATTATACACGTTTCACACAAATTCTTTGTTGCTATATATGCAACCATATATTCCACTATCCATAGTCAAATTTCTCACAAATTTTTGTGGGCTCTAGAGATATTTCTTAATTTTCAAATAACTAACCTCAGCCAAGTTGTTCCAAGACGCCCACCTTGAGGAGACCGCCTAGGTGGCGCCTTGGCCGCCTAGGAGCAAGGCCCAAGGCACCTGCCTAGATCCCGCCTGGGCATTTTTGCTGTGCCCAGCCAATAGGCGGCCGAGCGACCGAATTTTCGAGCATTGGTTGCCTCATAGTCAAAGAACACAATGATAATATGACAATTAACTCGAGCACAAAGAAATACTAAAGCTACATAAAGAAACTCTAACAGATCCACTATTAACTTCTACATTTGGGAAGATGCGGGGGTAAAACTATTTGACCTTCAATCCTAGCATATTTGGAGCTTAAAATCCCAGCCCTATTTGAACTAGTAGAAACCCACTTGCATGTCACACTCATGGAGGAGGGAACCCCCTACATAACATGTTAAACAGTCAAGCAATTAATTTCAACTTGAATGCTAAATATTCAAATTTCGAAGACTCTCTCCTGCACCATGAGACTAAAACCCAAAATCAAAAGGCATGCATTAATTAATAGAAACATTATCTAAAAGTTGGGGAATCCTTTGAACCTAGAAGTTCTAAATCCCTAGAAGCTGGAATTGTTGATATCTGGAAATTCTAGAATACTTGTTTGATAACGTGTCTGGAGCTTCTCAAATATTGAATTCAAGCTTCATAGTGATCAAATATGGACTTAGACATTGTGATCAAACGTGAACTTAGAGAGAGAAAAGGCACAACTAGGATTCATAGAATTGTTCTAAAATGCGGCCACATCACCGCATATGCAGCCCTTTAAGGCACTATGCTCCCCGAAGCACATAGCATAAGGGTGCATATGTGCATATACACCACATAGCTCGTGAGCAAAAAAGGTGTCCACGAGCATGAGTATTTGGTCATTTTCAGGGGAAAGGCCCCTGCCCCTCCCCCCCCCCCACAAAACCCCCAACAAAAAAACTCAAAAAATAATCACATTCATGGATGTCTTTGGATCAAACAAAAAGAAAGACTTTAGGCCAAAAATGTTTTGCAAAAATTTGTCGATTTTCTCTCAGTGTTGGTTGGGTTGTCAATTGGGATTAGCTTGGGCGTTGTTTTGAAGAAGTTTGAGCAAGATTCATCAACATCTCGAGGGTTTCAAGGACCGAGTTTGCAATTACGATTATGCAATGTTCAAAAAGGCGGAGGCAGCCGCCTAGGCGGGTGCCCAGACACAAAGGCAGCCCTAAGGGAAGGGGCTGGGGTTGGGGCCATATGTCGTTTTATGTGTGTGTTTTGTGAATGTGTTTAGTGTGTGTCTGTACATGTGCATGTATGTGTGTGCGTGAGGTCTCACATGAAATTCTTAAAGATCATCCTCTTTTTTTCTCTCCTTTTTGCTTTTGCATCTGTATTTATGAGAGAGAGGTCTCAAACACTTGGAGGATATGTCGAGATCGAGATTGAGAGAGAGAGAGAGAGAGAGAGGACCCTCGCATCGAACGCTTGGAGGTCATCAGCTTCTTTTTCTTCTTCTTACATGTAAAGAGGGAGCATATGGGTCCATGCGTATCTTTGTGTGTGTATGTGAGAGAGAGAGAGAGGCCGCGCATCGAACACTTGGAGTCTACTTTCATCTTCTTCTTCTCATATGTAGGGAGAGCACATCGACTCGAGAGAGCGAGAAAGAGAGAGAGAAGAGAGAGAGAGAGAGAGAGAGAGAGAGAGAGAGAGAAAGAAGGGTAATACCATGCCTTATTTTTGTTTGGGTGGATTTGAATTCCTTTTTCTCTTTTTTTTTTTATTTAAGGGATGGCACTAGGTGACCACCCGGACTGCCTAGGCACCTACCTTAGGCATGCCCATCTAGACCAACAAGGCAGCCGAATTTCGCGATTATGGTTTTTGGATGTTTATGAATTATGACAATATGACGTCTTCTAATGTCTTCAATAAACTTACTTTCATGTTTCTAGTTTCTACTTTCTAATATCTTCTAACATGGGATTTAAAGTCTCTAAATAGCTTATAATATTGCAATTAATGAATAAATTAAATATACTTAAATAAATCACCTCCATATTTTTCATACATTAACCTATTTTTTGAGATTTTTTAGAATGTTTATATTTCTTGACAACATTGAGGTGATGTGCCTGCATCTGGACCACATCAAGTTGCATCACCGGATCGGCCCTTTGATTGGGATTTTTTAGAATTTTTATATTTATTGACACCATTGATGTGCTCACATCTAGACCACATCCAGCCGCATCATCAGATCAGCCCCCTGACTGCATCGCGACCGCATCCCACATTTTAAAACACTGATTCATAGTGATTACGGTTGTTTGATGACAAAACAAGCATCGACGATGAAAGATTTGTTTGGGCACAGCATCACACACACGCGCGCATACACACACACACACAAGGCATTGTTAGAGAGAGAGGACTTAGAGAGTATAAGGAGTCAAAAGAGAGAAACGTCACAGTTAGAGTGAGAAAAGGAGATAGAGAGACAAAGGGCATGGTTAGAGAAAACAGCACAGTTAGAGAGAAATGGCATGGTAAGAGAGAGCTAAAGAGAGAAAGGGCATGGCTAGAGGAGGAGCTGGAGAGAGAAAGAGAGAGAGGCAATAGAAAGAAAGGCACATTTACACAGAGAAAAGGCACAGCAAGAGAGAGAGCACAGATAGAGATAGGAAAGGCACGGCTAGAGAGAGATGATAGCAAGAGAAAGGGCATGGTTAGAGAGAGAAATGACTTAGAGAGAGTTAGACAGAGAGAAAAGACACTAGAAGCCAAAATCAAGACGACTAAACTTGCCAAAAAAATAGGATAGGCGAACTTCCATGGGATGGATGGTTTAACAGGAAGTGCTATAGTAAATGAGAACTTCCAGTTGTAGCTGCGCCTGTATGGTGCAAAAGAAAAGAATATCTCCAACAAAGTACAAGCTTTTATGACAAAATTAATAGTCAGCATGAAGTACAAGAAGGGGAAAAAAAAGGTCCAAGCAGAATCATAAGAAACAGCCAACATAAATCATTAAAAAACAGGAAATGTGGGCACTAACTAATTCCTATATACTACCTGGGGTCTACTATCTGGACAATGACCTCAAAACACAAACCAAAATATCTGTGGCGACTAAATCCCGCCAAACCAGAGGAATTCAATAACACTAATTCCTATGTACTACCTGGGATCTACTATCAGAACAATGACCTCAAAACACAAACCAAAATATATGTGGCGACTAAATCCCGCCAAACCAGAGGAATTCAATTACGAGCATCAACAATCTAATGTAAATTCCATTCCAGGTTCCCCAACACCTTAAAAACTAAAAGATGAGTAACTATAACAGAAAAAATGAACTAAATCCCACAAAATTCGTGGGAAATCCATCATGCTCGAGCTTTCAATGCCATTCTATTCATTACCTATCAAACCTGAAACTTCAGAAATCCGAAGTACTGAATTCCATTGAACAAAACTACTGAAGAAAGAAAAAAACAACCTCCTCCCACCCTTTAAAAAAAAAAAGGTACATTCAAATCAAAGCAGGACTTCATTAACCAGGAAATATTCATTTTAAGAAAAAAGAAAGAAAAAAGTAAGATAACCAACACATAGACTCCACTCACCTTATTTGGCTCCATTTCACGATCAGACTCATCATCGGAGTAATCATCATAAGCACATCGCCCATACTGCATACTTGGCTGAGAAAATGGCCCAAAATCCTTAGAATTAAAGCCCGGCCTCTGGTCCTCTCTCCACTCTGACTCAGGCAAACGGGTCGAGACCCCTGCAAAAACAGGAGCCATGGTAGTGACACCCCTGTTGATAAAAGGGGCAGTGCAAACGCTTTGCAAACGTCGAGCATTCTGAATCCCTGAAGAGTATTCAGCCATGCTAGGACAAACGGCTCTGCAAGTTTGACGAAGATTGCGAGGCAAATTAGGGGAAAGAGACATGATAAGGAGAGCAAAGCTTCTCGAGTACCCTCTGAACAGGCTCAAATACGGCATGTTCAGAGGAGGTCATCAGAGGAGGCTGGCAAAATCACGATTTTCGCGAAGGCATAGCCAAAAGCTTCGGTGAAATCTAGGGTTTGTTTTACTGAAATGAGCAGTGGAGAGAGAGAGAGAGAGATCTAGGGTTTGTGGGGGGTAGGGGATACAGCACAGAGCTCTGCTGTCCCTTCACAAGTGAGACCTGCTTTGTACCGGGAAGCTCGTGCGGAGGTGGAGGGGTTTTGTTAGGTCCAATGTACGTAAACACCCCTAATCTATTCTTGTATTACACACTGGATCACCCATCGTACGGCTGGGCCCTGCACAATTCGAGTTGTGAGTTAGTAAGGCCAATACCTAAGCCCTACACCCGAGCGGTTATGTGCACGACAGGGGTATTATAGGAATCCAGGGATGAAGTAGAACGAGGTAACTGAAGCATGAATTTGTCTGTCCTTTTGCTTTCGAGTGGGCTTAGGCTGTGAGATACTCGCCGTCGCGAAGCAGCAGTATATGTCCAAATAATATTATTTTTGGGATCGGACCCGTCTTTAAATCGGCAGGAGGCTTCGTCCGTTTAAATTTGGTCTCGTCTCGTTAAAACCTGGTATCACTAGTCAAATTGTTTAGATTGAATTTTAAAAAAATAAAAATTATAATTTAAAAATATAAAAATATTTAAAAACTTGCCTAATTTTTTTTAGGTGGTTGATAAAGTTAAAATGGCCAAAACGGATTAAACCTTATTTTTATCTTGGACTAAACTGATTAAGGTCAATATTATCAAATTCGCTTGGCTTCGACTGAAGAGGCCGAAGCTTTTAGATTTTAAGCATAAATCGAAGCGAAGAGAAATATGGTGTTGCTGCTTCGATCTGATTCGGGCCGCTTTGGGCTGCTTCGATCATATTCACGTTTCTTCGGATCTGCTTCAACCGAATGTCAAATGTTTATTATGTCTCCATGATTTGAAGATTTTACAAATTATAGATTTTATGAACATGGGGAAATTTTTTAAAGCAAGAACATTTAGACGTTCGAAAATGATTTTACGAATAATTCCTCAGTCAATAAGGTCATTGATTTCATAAAAGTCTAAATAACATATAGTTTTAAAGATATATGGTGAGTTCCAATAAAGGTATTCAAACTCCCAGTTTAAGAGTTATGGGATTGTCGAAAATGGTTATGCAACTACAATTGTTGTTATTTTAGCAAAAAGATCAGTAGGAATGACATTTCAGCCTTTTCATATAAACAAATTCTTTTAATGTTTTCAATTGTAGGATCTCCTATTTGGTGATCCAAGAGATGAGCTATTTCGAAAAAGGAATTAATTTTTTCGAAAGTAAAGTCTTGATTCCAATCCATTTGTTTAAGGGTTTGGAATGCCTTTCCTTTTAAAATTTTAAACTTCGTGCTTTGTTTAGCAATGAGTTCTGAAAGATTGCTCATATATCTCCTAAATTGTGCTTTGTTCTTTAATATGTGGTGTTTCCAAACATTATCCAATTCTTCATACAAATGAAAAGGAATATTATAATTTCTATAGAAATGAGAAACAATTTTAACTTATGAAAGGTTTTTCTCCATTTGATTTTGAAGCTCTACTATTTGTTTATAGGAGAGAGCCTCAGCAGATTGAAAGTGAGACCGTTGAGAATGGGCATAAAAACTTAGTGCTTTGTACTGAGTCTCGTGTTTTAGGGGACGTTTGCCTATTCGATTAGGTCCTCCTGGTTTAGGGGGTCTTGATGGTGGATGATTACTGTCGATCTTCCCTGCTCAAATAGTCAACAAGTATGTTGTTAGTTTCCTTAATGAATTCAACAGAAAAAGTATACAATTGTAGGAAGTTTAATCATCAGATTCTTCTAGAGTTTTCCTCCCGCTTTTTATTCAAGGGGAAATCTTTTACTGCTTTGTTATCTGTTTTGATAACAAAATGTTCGGCTGGCAAGTAAATGTGAAAGCTTTTTACTCCACAAATAATGGCAAGTAATTATTTTTCATAAATGATATAATTCTTTTCGTTATATTTAAATTTTCCAGAATTATATCCACATACTAGAGTTTTCTCTTCAGTATCCGTTTTTAGGATTGCGCCCCAATTTTCATCAGAGGCATCAGTTTAGAGAATAAGTTTATCTTCTTGTATAGGAAAATAATCAGAAGGTGTTTCTTTTATTTCTGCTTTTATCTTTTTGATAATAGCAATATCTTTTTCAATCCAAGTAAATTCTTGATTTTTACAAAATAATTTTTTCTTTACTAGAAATATTTGGTATGAAATTCCTTCCATAGTTTAGAATTCCAAGAAAACTTTGTAAATGTTTTTTGTCTGTAAGTATATCCGGAAAAAATTTTATTTTGATATAATATGCTCCTGTAGTCTCATTCCTGATTGGTCTAAGACAATTCCCAAAAATTCGATTGAGGGTTTTTCAATCTCAATTTTATTCGGATTCAGAATTATTCTGTTATCTAAAATTATTTTCGAAACTTTTTTCGAAGATGGTTTTTATGTTCTTCAAAAATTGATATTATCAATGTATATTGCACATAAAACTTTTAAATATGAGAATATACTCTCCATTCATCTTTGAAAAATCAGTGGCACATTGCAAAGGCCAAAGGGCATTACTTTCCATTGATAATAGCTATATGGAGCACTAAAAGTAATATGTGGTCTTGACTCGTCTGCTAACATGACTTGCCAAAAACCAAATTTACTATCAAACTTGCTAAAAATATTGAGCTCCTTTGGTTTGATGCTTAGGATTTCCTTTCGTGGTATAAAGGTATAAAGTATCTATCAAATTCTATATTTTGAATAAGCATTTGATAGTTGATTACCATCTTGGCTTTTCTTTTTTTTCCTTCATTATGGTTTCTTACCATGAAAGTATAGCTAGAATGAGGACGTGATGTTGGTTCAATCAGGTCTTTTTCTAGCAATTCCTTTATTTGTACTGCAAATTCGTCTATGTATCTTTTGAAATAGACAATTGGTTAAACTCTGATGACTCTGTTTGGATCAGATAGTTTTAAACTACAATATCTAGTGTTTTTTTACCATAATTTTAGAGGATTTTCACTAAAATTAGATTCGAGTGTCTTAAATACCCAATGGTTTTCATTGAGTTGTTTAATCAAATCGTTTTTATTACTTTCACCTCGTTTTTTAGGAGAAAACCTGAGTTGACATCCATATTTATGTTCTTCTAACACAAGAATATAAATTTTTACTCTTTTATGTGTTAAAACAATCTTTTCATGGTAAATTTCTATGGGATAATGATCTTTAAGAAAATTATTTCCCAAAATAAAATTTTCATGCATAAAAGGAAAGCACAAAACTTTTGACATGGAAAATTTTGTTTTACCCAAACAAACTTATACATTTTTGGCTTTATACTCAATAAGAGTATTATTACCATCTATATCAGTTGCACTTAATGGGCTAGCCATTTTTTCTCATTTTTCTAAGGGGAGTGCAATAGGACTACAAGCACATGTTGTTGCACCTATATCGATTAGTATATCGAGTTGATATGGTTTATACCCTGAAAAATTGAATTCTCCCTAAACAAATAAATATTTTTTCTTGTTTTGTTTATGAGAAAATATAATTTCTTCATCTTTCCCTATTTTTATTCGAGAGGCATTCAAGCTTTGTTGTAGGTTTTCTTTATCTTTTTTATATTTTGTTCTGAGTTTTCACCTAGGAATAAAGGTTCTTCAATTAGTTTGTATCCTATTGGTCTTATTATTCCTTTTTTTTTATATATAACCTTTTTCTAATTGATCTCTTAGTTTTTTATCAGTCTTATTTGATTGATCGAAACTTAACCTTCTTCTTATAAATGAATTATCAAGGCTTAACCGCCTAAAAATAAGCCTTTGATAGGTGAAATATATATTATTTCCTGATGCTTGGAAGGTTACAGGGTGTATTTCTTGTTTAGAAGCTTTATCAGTAACATTTTCTATTAACCAATTTGAGGGTATTTCAAGATCTCACCAGTTTATTAACTTTGCCTGTATTTCATTATCAAAGTTACGAGGCTCAAAAACTTCTACAAATCGAGTATCTATCTCTTTTGTAGATGTTTTGGTTATACTAGTGAGTTCATGGATTGCTTTCCATTCAATGGCTAGGTCAAGGCTATCTTCTTTCATTTCAACATTTTTTGTCTGAATCATCATTTTTACAGTGTCTTGGATATTTTTATCTCATACTAAAATCAAATAATTTGGCTTTAGTTTAAACCAAACCTTTCCAATTACAAGATTCAAATGGAGTCCTCCTATTATCGCTGCAATAGGATTATTGAATCTTTTGTCTAAAGCAACAACTAGGATTGGTGCATCCATCCCTTGACAAAATAATGTTGTTATTTCGATCATTATAATTCCAATATGCAAATACCTAAGTTTTGGGTATTGCTTAATCATTTTTACAATTTTTGCTTTGTCAAAAATTGCTATTTCTGATTCATTTTTTGATGCTCTAGCTATAGTGTAACCGCTAAAGTGTTCAAAATATTTGCCATTCCAAAATTGGAATTTATACATTTTTGTATAGTTCTTCTTTTTTGATAATCTTGGATTTTTCTATCTTAGATTCATCTATTGTAAAATTTTATTGTATTATATCTCTCCCTTTCGCCCTCTCTCTCGCATTGGCGGCCATTAGTGCCTTTCTCCCTCACTGCATTCTTTGTTCTTTCTCTCTCTTCCAACTCTCTCTCTCATTCACTCTCCCACCAACGGCCAAGTCGTCGATGCTCTCTACCCATCTCTCACTTCACTCTTAAAGCCCATCGGCCGCCAGTGGCATCATATGCCCTCTCTTCTCTTATCTGTTTTACAACCCTTGTCTCTCATAACTTTCACATCTCCCAAATCTTTGCAACACTAACCTTTCGTTTATCTCAACTCTCTCAAACCAAACCTTCTAAACGGTACCCACCATTCTAACCTCTCACACAAACCATCTTAAACGTATTCTTCCCTCCCTCTCACAAATAAGGGGGCCTCCCCATTACCCCCATTATCCATATTCTCCATAAAATATTGGAAAAATGAAACAAAAAATAGAGGTGGACATGGTCATGGGGCCGTGGATAAAAATGCCGAAGAAATCGGGCTTGATGGCAAACCCGACAAGGGACATTGCGAATAAAAATGGTAAAAGGTAGACGTGACCATGAAATCACAGGTA